GCCACACAGACTGGCCCACCACACACCCCAGAGTGTCATGCACATTCCTAGCAAATGCTCTTTGATTCTGCAGCTCAAGGTCAATCAACCACAATAGCTTCTTCCTTTGAGCTGCCTGACTCTCTTGGGAAATGCCAGGAAGGGTTTTGTAATTTATCCCAGAATCTCCGAGAGAGCCAAAGGACCATTCCTCTTTTAGGGAAGTGTGTGGCAAGGCCCTTTAGAGCTGTGATTATTGAAATTTCCAGTGAAAAAGAATAGTGGTTTTGCTGAACCTTAATGTCTTCCTAAGTCCTCGGTGCCAGATGCACTATTTTCCTACTCGATGTGCCAAAACCACTAAATAGTTAAAACACATCAAATCATCTCAAAATGGCCAAAATTGAATTTTTTTCTAAAAAAAAAAAAAGAGAGCTCCTACTCAGCAAACCTCACAGTCATAATCCATAATAGAAAACTTCTGATTAGGCTAAAAATTAGGAAAACAGACACGCAACGCCAAAGACTCCAAATGTTCTCTTTGTGTAGAGGCTCAGAATAAGAACTAACAGAGAGAGGAGAGAATTAAAGGGAACGGTTACGGCAATGAAAACCACAGCCACAGCACAAACAATTATGACGCCCTCCACAATGTGTTCTTAAGCTCTACATTTTTAGTGAGTTTTCCCAGCTCGCAGACCACCAGCAGGTGGAAGCCGGAGAAAGGAGCCTGCTCTTCACACCAGCGCTCTAGCACCTTCCATGTGGTGTGAGCTGCTCTTGGAACCGGCCATTACTTCTGAAGAGTCATCCAAAAGATCTTTGGGGTCAAGCATCCCCACATCTTTGGTATTAAACATATCAGCCAATAATCCTTGGGCTTAATAATAAGCTAACCATAGCTCCGACATCAAACAACATTTTAAATGGCATGCAAGGAGTAAAAAGAAAACCTTCCAATTCACAAATGTCAGTTACATCTAGACAACCAGGGGTGGGAGGACGGGTGGGGAGGGGGGGCAGCAGGGGAGATGGGGAGAGCATCCCCCAGAGAGTCTGCGAGCTATATTCTCACACCTTGTTGCCAATAATGTGACCACACCTGCACTTTACATTTGCTGAACCATGTTAATTTCTTGATAATTTCTCTTAATTACTAGCTTATCAAAGTCAATGTCAAGCGTCCCATTCACTGAACAGCAGTGGTTCTCAGCCCTGGCTTTTCCTTGGGATCACCTTGGGAGCTTTATAAATAACTGAGACCCATGTGGCCCCTCAGACCAGTTAAATCAGAATCTCTGGAGGTGGGACAGGTGTCAGGAGCTCCTAAAACTCCCCCAGATGATTCCAGCGTGTGGCAGGGTTGAAAGGCACTGCCATAGAGGGTTTGGGGTGAGGGAGGGCAGCAGAAAGTGGGAGCCAAGAGGGAGGTAGAACCTTCCACAGAGTACGGGCAGGGAGGACTCTGCAGGGGACTGACTGAAGTTAGGCTCCTGTAGCTGAGCCAATGCCCCTCCCTCCTGATAAACTACCAGCAGAGGGGCAGCTTCCTTAAACTATGTATTGATTAGATTTTGAACAACTTGCCATTAATCATCTAAGCTTCTTGGTGACAATTGACCAAAATATCACTGAGGCCTTAAGAAAGTGAAGGGGACGCTGAGACAAGCATCAACAGAGAGGACCATGCCAACAGGCTTAAATTTGGGGATGGGGCAGGGGGGTGCCTAAGAATTTGCATTTCTAACAAGTTCCTAGATATTGCTAATACTCCTACGTACACACTTTGAGAATCACTGCTGTAAAGCATGAGACCCAGGATAGGAGAGGGCTGTCCAGGTCTCGGAGAGGCACCCCAGACTTCACCGGTAACCCTTCGTGCCCTACAGGAAGGAACAGAACGTGGTCCCGAGAGGAGCTGGGATTTATTTTCATGCGTGTATAAAAGTGTGAGCGCCATCTGATGAAGTGATTACCTCATGAGAACAGACAGGGTTTTAAAAATAGAGACGCCTTTGGGTTGTTTGTTCCTAATATTTTTGCATTAGAAACTGGTAATATTTAAATCAGATTTAATTTTAGAGCCGCAACCTTTACTAGCATGAGACTAAAAACAATGGCAGTCACATCTGTGAGAATCACGTCGTGCTGCAGTGTTCTGGACAGTGGACTTCTCTCCCCAGCAGCGAGCCACCTGTGCCTGCACTGAACAAGAGAAGGCCAAAAGCATGGGAGATGCTAGCCAGGGTCTCAGATACAACACTCAGGCATGCACCAAGGCAGCGTGGCCCAGAGAACGCAGAAATAAGGGCAGGGAACCGTTTGTGGTTGGTCTATAGCTGACCCCCAGAATGGCAGGTCTGCTTAGAGGTTGTAGCGTTTTTTTTATTTATTTTGAACTTCATTCTTCTTCTCCAATCTAGATTGGAGGCCATCCTGGCATATAGTGGAATATCCAGAATATTTCTAGTCACCCTTACTTCCCTGGTTGTTCCCTAGATTAAAAGTGGAGGCTTTTTGTGAAATTGCAGCCAGTGGGTGGGCCACAGCAGTGAACTCTACAAGGTCATAGGCACCTACTTCTGTATAAGGCCCATCACATACTCCTCTCACCTCTCCCCAAACCCCCTATGAAGTCACATTGGACCTTTTGCCAGTTCTTGAATTCTGGGGCTCTGTGATGCCTTTCCTCCCCATCTTCCCTAACCAGCTCCTATTTATCCTTAAGAACCCTCCTCAGATGTTACTTCCTCTAGGAACGTATGTCTCTGGTGAGTCTGGCCAGGTAAGACTAAGTCCTCCTCCCATATCGCGCCCACTACCCATCATACTTATCGCATTGTGCTAAGTATGTGACAAGTTCCTGTGCTGGCCTTTCCTCGCCTTGAGATTATTTGCTCTTGGAGGTTAAATGTTATTTTGTATTATTGTGTCCCTAGCACCTAATACAGTAGCTGGCATGGCACCTGCAAGTTTAATGTTTAATTAATGGAATGAATGAATTTGAGTGTTTGAATGGGGGAAAGCATTCATCAAGTACCCAGTAGGGATGTGGGCTGGAAAACATTAACGCTCATCGAGTCACAGACGATCAGAGCTGGAGGGGACCTTTGCTATCACCTGTGGCAGTTCCTCATCCTATTCAAAAGTGTCATGTAATATTTTCAACAATAAAGATTTTCTTAAAAAGAAAAAAAAAAGTGTGGACTAGATCAGATCCCCTTTCCTACAAGTGATGGAACCAGACGCCATGGTGCCAGCCTTTTATCCTGGGGCGCATGACATCTGCCCTCTCCTGTGCTAAATCCAACCCAGAGGGAGTGGAAATGTTCTTTGCTGCAGAACATAACCTTCTTTGAGAGTCTCTGAGCAAGTGTTCTTCTCTAGGCCTGAACCCCAATTGAGTAGGAAGGTTTTCCTGGTTCTTCCAAAGCAAAGAGGCTGTTTTGAGCAAAGTGGGTATGGAAGAGGAATGGATGCACCCTGGTTCATGGTTCTAGCAGCAGGAGAACCACTCGGGGGGCCCTTGTAGCTCTCTGTCCTCGGCTTCTCTATGTGAGGGACTTGGGGCCACAGTGTCTTCATTGATATTTGCTTCTGTAGCACAAAATGAGAGGGGGGTGGAAGGAAGGTAACTGGTGGGGATCCACAGTGGAAAAGGACTTGAAAAAGGCCCAGGGGAAAGGAGTTTGGGGCGTTGGAAAGAGAATATAGACAGGAAAGGTAACAATGTCATCCTGTAATTGTTTTCTTTTATTAGAGCTGCCACACCCTACAACTTCTGCAGCAGACACAATAGTTTAGTCATTCATTCATTCATTTAAAAAGTGTCATGTAACTCTCCTGCTTAAATCCCTTCACTCCCTTTCCATTTCCCTTAGGACAAAACCATAGTTCCCAGCTATGTCCCTGCAGACCTGGCTCCTTCTACCTCATCCCAACTCATTTCCTAGGTCTATTTCCTACTCACTCAGCAACTTCAACTTGTTTCTACCTCAGGGCCTTGGCACTTGCTGTTCCTTTTGCTTGAAATGCTCTCTCTCTCTCTCTCTCTCTCTCTCTCTTTTATTCTCATCCTTCAGATCTCAATGTGAAGGCCACTTCCTCAGAGAACCCTTCTCTAAGCATCCTGTCTACAGTAGCCCCTCACCACTTGCCAGCTGTCATCACACTCCACGTATTTCCTTCATGGCATAAGAAGAATCTGAAGATAATCATATTTATTTACACAAGACTATAAGCTCCATGAGAGCAGAGACCTCGTCGTCTTATTCACTGCCGTGTCCCCAGCAGCTAAAATAGTGCTTGGCACATAGTAGGTGCTCAGGAAATATTGCTGACTAAATGAATAAAGCACCTATATATATGAAGTTTACACAAGTGAGAAAATAGAAACCTTCCATTGCTTCCAGGAACTCCAACCTAAAACCGGGTAGCATTTTTTTTCTCCTTGAATGATCCCCATAGCTTCTGATTCCTGGAATTTGGCTTGTGCAATGGTTCTTGAGATCCCCATCCCAGTCCTGTAGAGCTCTCTGTTATCTGCCAAGTGGTCAGGTTGCCTGGATTTTCATCAAAGCACCAATTTACTCACAAGAACCAAGATTTTTCCTTCTGTGTGTTATCTTAGGCTGGTCCAGAGCTGGGTCTACTACATCTACATGTGTGTGTACAGAATAATATCCATGTTGGTGCTGGATTAGGGGTCTGTTGGAGCAGGACTCTGGTGTGGGATTGGGAGCACCTATGCTGGGCATAAGATTAGCCAGACTGTGTCCCAGCAGAAACCAAAAGCGCTGGCACAAGAGGCCACCATAGGTCTGTTCAAGGCCAGCCCCAAGCAGTTTGGGAAGCTGGGCTCTAGCTCCTTTCTGCGCTCTGGTGCTGATAAAATCCCAAAACGCAGGGAAATGGGGTTTGTCCTGTTGGCACATCCCTCCCTTCCTGCCTGGGGCACAGCTCTCCATCTGCCTGAGAATGTGGTGAAGTGCCCATCTCATGCCAGCTCTTTCCTCCCACAGAGTCCTGGCCCGTGGTCGTGCAGTCCAGGTGGCTGGATGGCATGCTGGACCCAAGCTCAGCTCAGCGTCCGGGCCCAATAAGGGCTTTTCCAAGGAAGCAGCTTTCCGTCCTGGCCACACTGAGGTAAGCGCGGGGGGTGTCCATCTCACCGTGGTTCCTGGCTCTGGAACTGCTGGGAGGGCCGGAAATGAGCCCCAGGCTGGGGAAGGGGCATTGGATCCCACTGCCGATCATAAGGCCTACCTCCAACACATGTGACTCTCCTGGCCCATGTGGGAGAGGAAGTCCCTGTGCTCTCAGGGCTTCCAGGGACGTGCTGGGAGTCTGAGCGGCCACCACTAAAGTGACGGGACACAGGGCCTCACATAGACGCTGCACGCAGCTCCTGCTCTCTCTGTGCAGGCAGCCTTATGGGATGCGAGGTCCTTGATCACTCCCGTGCCCTTGACCATGGAGTGGAGCGAGGGGAGAGCCCAGATGTGGAGGCAGAGGCCCGGCTCTGAGTTCCTTTCCCTTCAGATATGTGCCCGTGGCCCAGTTACTCTCACCGTGTCTGCTTCCTCCTCTACAAAATGGAAATAACAAGGCCTGCATCCCCGGCTTGTTGTGATGGTTAACGAGACAGTTAAGCCCAAGAGATGATAATAAGATCTCACCTCATTCATTTTAAGATGTGTCTCTAAGAACAAGGATCAGTAGATTCTGTTTCCATTCTGCCCTTCAGTGACCAATAAACCCGCAAGTGCCCGCACGTGCCCGCGTGTTCTGGCTGCTTATTTCCACCAGGGGTATTTTAAGTGCTTTCGGATCAAGTTTACGCAAGGCCCAGAAACCTGATAAACTAGATTTTAAAATAACTAAGTATCCAAATGCTTCCTGGTATCTGGATTTGTGGCCTAAGGAGGGTAAGATGTACGGTCTGTTGAAAGGAATTTTCACTTTGATGTTGGGAGTTGAGTAAACCTAGCCCAGGACCCCAGCAATTACGACGTGTGTGGGACTTCAGGCCTCTGTCCCCTGGAAAGTGCTGAGCAAGGTCAAGGGCCCACCTGTGGAGCCTGCATAACCCCAGGTCACTTAGCCTTCAAGGCCCATTTCTCTGCCCTGTAAAATTCAACGATGGAGCTGGATGAGTGGTTCTCAAACTGTGGTCCCCAGACCAGCAGCACCAGTATCCCCTGGGAACTTGTGAGAAATGCCGATTTCCGGGCCCCACCCCAGGCCTCCCGAATCAGAAACCGGGGGAGGGGCCCAGCAGCCTGTGGTTTAACACCTTCTCCGGGTGATTCCCATGCACCGCACCTCTGGACTTGAGACCCTCTGACATCCCCTCCAGTCCCCCTGGGAAAAGCTAGCAAAGGGCTGGGTGCCTTTCTCCACCGCAGCCTTGGTCAGGGCTACCTCCCTGGGGAGCTGAGGAGCCACAGAATCCCTCACACCCCACACAGGCCCCGACCACTGCGAGTGTCTGAGTCTACAACTGAAGACAGCAGCCGCTTACATTTACAGCGGAGGCCGAGTGTAAAACAAGACATGACCCTTGACCCGCTGTCATAATGTGGCAAGTGAGATGGAGGAGGAGGAGGCTGGATTTCCTCAGCCGCAGGAATTTCCTCTCTCACTAACAGGCAGTGACCTTGGCTCACTGATGCAATCTCTGGCCTGAGCATCACTAAGAGCTCTTGGCGCTAGCCCCGGAGGCGGGAAGGCTCTACTCCCCTCTGCAACGCACCTCCGAAGGCAGGTGGCCGAGCCTCCCCGTGCCTCAGCCCTCCTATTGGGGCCAGTGGCTTAGCTCTGTCCAGAAGCTTCATCTTCTATTCAGATGAGGCCAAAACCTACGCAAAGCTCATTCACCTGATGCCAGAATGTCTCTTCTTATTGCCGGGTGTGAGGTACCCCTGGCCCAGGAAGAGACGAAAGGGTTAGGCAGCCTGTTTGTACCTGGATAAAAGGCACCGGTGGGTCCCCGCACTCTTAGTCATTTATCTTCCACTCTGGGAGGAGCAGGGCCATCAGGGAGCATTCACACATTCAGCCTATCTTCACCGCCCCCCCGCCACCCCCCTTCAGCTCACGGAGCTCCGGAGCTCCGCTTAGTGGAGCCCTGGTCAGGACTGTCATCATTTCAAAGGTTGTTATTAGAAATAATAAGATGAAAGTCCTGCCGGGTTCACTCCAACTAAGGACAGAATGTTTTTTTGTAAACTGCATTGTGCATTATATCACTGGAATAGAAAACATACTCGTTTCTTCTTCTTCTTTTTTTCTACTGATGATTTTTTTAAAGGAAGACTTTTTTAGATTAAAAAGATCATAAGGGCACACTATGGTAAATCAAATAAATATTTTTTAAAAAATAACACCTTTTCCTCTGAAACTCAGATGAGAGTATCTTCAAATCTTAATGAAACTGTCTGTCCATGATGCAAATCCCCGCCCAGAGTGCACGCCACCAGGCCCACTGCTATGTGCGAACGGTGGGCTGAGAGGGAGCGTTAGCCTGTGAGAGCTTTGCCAAGGCCGCTCAGCAGAGCTGGAAGCTTCGTGCAGGCAGACCTTGTTTTTATCACGCTTCGCTTTGCTGCGCTTCCCATATTTCGTTTTTTTCTCAGCATCGAGGCAAGACCCTCAACCAGCAAAATATTACCACTCGCTGAATGAAGGCTCAGATGGCGGTTAGCATTTTATAGCAATGAAGTCGTTTTTAATGAAGGTATTATACAGTGTATTTTCAGACACCATGCTATTGCACACTTCATGGACTACAGGAAAATGTAAACATAACTTTTATGTGCATTGGGAAACCAAAAAAATTGTGTTAATTGCCATAGCGCAATATTCGCTTTATTGTGGTCGCCTGAGACTAAACCCACAATATCTCCAAAGTGTGACTAATTGCTTAAACTCCAAGAAGGTCAGAGTTGGAAGCTACCTTAAATGTTACTGCTCACATGGAGAAGTGAAGGAGCACTGAAGGGGCTAAGAGTGGGGGGACCCACA